ATTTCTTATCCAGAGTGATGTCCAGCACAAGAGAACACGCAGTTATATTAGCAGACCTGCACACTCACATAGACATGATGTGGTTCCTCATCCACCCTGTTTGTCATGGTAAAGACTGGCTCACCCTTGCATCTTGAGATGACCCAGTTCTCTACTTTGCACAACCCCCCACCGATGTGCAGTCTTACTTGGGAAGAGTGTTTCCCAAATCTAAAATGACTGAATCATTCTGAATGTTCTGCCTGAGTGCACGTGGAGAAAAGTTATGGAAGATGTAAAGATGGTTCTGACTTTTTTTCATATTTAATAACCATCAAGAAACAGACCAACAGGACACACTCAACAAAGCTCTAGGTACTTAGTTTCTCTTCAAAGATTTATTCCCGTCTGAGCCAGTAACATGATGAAAATACCAAACCATTTAACCACCAGGACTTCCTAAAGTCATTGCACTGATGGGGATTTTTTTCACTGATACAGATTATTGTGACATTGTGCACAGTGCACTTCTCAGTTACACTTTTTGCTTGACACTGTGACAGACTTTTTCAAATTGTTACACTTTGCATCAAAACTGATTTGAACAACCTCATTGGAAGAATGTAAAATGGAAAAATATCTCATGGGACATTTCTGTTAGTGTCATCGGTGCTGAGAATTTGCTGAACATAATGTCTTCAGTCATATTGTACTCGTAAGTTAAATTACCAGCATTAAGAACATCATTTAATTTAAGCAGTAATTTGGGTTTATATAGTTTAAATTATACTAGGGAATTTTCAAAGCAAATTTTCTTTTTATATTGTAATAATTTATATTTTACGAAGGGCCTTTTAACAACCAGGCCAGTTTAGTCAAAATCAAATGTCTCTAAGATGTATATAAGAGGGATTGAATCATGATTGTGCCCTAAATCAGAATTACTTGATTCAAAGAGATCTTAAACAACAACCTCAGGTACCTAAGCATATCACTGCACACTACATTGTAACTGTGTATGTGACAAATAAAACTTGAAACTTGAACTTGAAATCAACCTTGAATAACCCCTCATATTCCATTAATAGCAGTCAATCTTTATAAATGCTTCTGCCTAGTGTTTTGACGTCAGAGGTCTTGGACATTTTGTTCAGCCAACAATGAGCAACTGCAATATGCATGTACCCTTCTGTGCCCTGCTTTTCAAAGTAATTCATATTCAGAGTCCTTCCTTATCATGCCCGTGTCTTGATGTACCGGCAAACACTGTGTGTAGGTGTTCAGTGACCTGCACACAAGTAGCTTTTTTTAGCCAGAATTGGCTTCAGCATAGATTATCTGTCAAAGCCAGTCCTCCAATTTCCTGTTGCCATACTGAAAACAAATGGAAATCAACAAGAATACTTGTATAGATCTCACAGTCACGCCAAGGTGAAGTTCCAGGGGAAACCTGATATTGACTTGCCTACAGAAGGTGAAAAGCCAGGCTTCCTAGATCTCTATCTGTTTGAAAAGACAGTTAAGGTTTGGGGCTCTGTTCTGAGATCAGAAATGCTAAAAACATCTCAACTCCTACCCTAAAGCTATCTCTTGAACTCTGTCAATCAAAATCCCTGTCATACATACTCCAAAGATAGACAAAAGCCTCAAATGTAGGTAACTTTGTATCATTCATGGTACTTTGCAGTGAGTATTATAACAGTGAGTATGCAGAAGCTTTTCCTTATCTTTCAAAAATTAACCAGTTTGAAAGTCTTCCCTTGTCTGCCTAAATGCGTGTTTTTAGTCAAATTTTACTAGTAATGGGGACACTGAATGAAAAGAAAAATTGAGGTCTGGACACACTTTAATCATTAAAGATTCCATGGCACTCATCAAGAGTGAATGTATTCATTCTATGTCCTTGTCAAATTCCCCACCCAGCTCTCTACATCTGGCTACCTAATCATCCCCCTAGAGTTGACTGGTTACACAAACAATTGCATCCCCTGTCCAATTTGATTCTCTGTGTCACCACTGTGAAAGAGAATGGAGTTCTCAGCTGACCTTTCTGGTTAAATAAACGGTTAAACCAGTAAAATAATTCAGGTTAGGGTTAGGGACTATTAGGTGGTACTAATAAGTATTACTAAGGTCATGGACCTGCTCTCAGAACATCTGAGACTTGTGCAAAAAGCACAGTACATAAGCAAAGACATTTCCTGCCAGATCCACACAGCAAGTCACAGTGAGCAGGCGGAACGGATTAAGACTCCCAGTAAATAAGGAAATATCATAAAAGGCCCATTAGGAGACTGACAGAACTGTCTGGTTACTACTTTAAGCGGAGCTAGGAAACATTCGGCCTAACGAACAAATAAATATCATTATGACAATGTACCTTAAAATAGACATAAAAATTGCCTGCTATGTCCAGATGGCCTCATGCTCCTGATAAATGTATGAATTACTGTGCTCCGCAGCCAGCTATATTACCAAGGCAGAAACTAGCAGCAGCAAGGGAACATTTGGAAAAACACACATTAATATTGATAGTCAATCAATGAAAATGTGTGCCTGTCCTCCCCTGTCCTGACAACACAGGTGTGCCAGACAGGAAATGAGCTGATACCTGTGGACGGAGTGTTGCTAGGGAGCACAGGTTTGGACAGCTGCAGGGACACTGTGTTGTGAATCAGTATCGTGAAAACCTTTTATGGTTCCCATGTAAAACTGGCACGTACAGAATTGTTTACTCAACTTTTTTTTTTCTTGTCACTGCAGTGTCAGGCAGTGAGTCCCCGCCAGATGAAACAGACACATGGAAACCCTTTAAGACATTCTCAACAAGCAACAAAACCTAGACGGCTCCCCCAGAAGGTGCAAAAATTCAGACTACTGCTAGTGTGAATTCAGATAATTCAAAACTTCAGAACTTCAGGTTAACACCACATTCAAAACCATACTTGCATTAGGCTACCATTGTGTTAGAAACATGCACTCAACATTTCAGTAAAATTACAACCCTTGTACGGAAATACCGAATCTATTCTGTAACACGTAAGTCTGGTTTAAAGTTAAGGCAGAAAAGGGCTCCCGAGTGTCTCACTCAGGTGATGACTCCTATCACACAGCACCATTGGACTGCAGGATGACTCACGGCTTGTGTAAGGGACATGATGTGTGGGTTTGTTTACAAAGACTCAGTTCCGTGGGGCCAGGTTGCCCTCCGGCTGTACCGCAGTACCCACTAGTGCAATACAGAAAAGTACAAATTACAACAGAAATACAGCAGGGTTTATATAGAGAATTTTATTGGTTCAGCAGACTGGAAAAAACTGACTGGGGAAGTTCATAAGCCATTTCTCTATGCACTGCTGATATTAAAAACAAATTCTTCCTTGATGTGTTCTTAGTCCATCTACAACAGATATTAATACTGAAGTGTAAAATGTAACAAATACTTGATTTTTGTATTTCATCTTTAAACCAGTGTTGGACTTTTCCCCTCCCCCCATTTAATTTTTCAACAGAAGCACCTTAGCACTTGCATGATAAAATATACACAAGAGTAAACAAACAGAAATTAGAAAGAAAAATGACACACAATCACACGTAAAAAAAGAAAAATTGTAAAATTGTTCATCTTGTTTCATAGTTTAAGGAGATACAAAGAAAAAGAACACTGGACAGATATTGCTGAGCTTCACTGGTGAAATATTTTAAAGCTGATAGATAAAAGCTATACAATAACCTCCCCAGCCAGGAGAAAAGAAAAGGACATAAAAGAGACTATTTACAGTTTTTTTTTCTTTATATCTCTACATAGTCAGCACACATAACGATGTAAAACAATCCACAAGTTATGATAACCGATGCGTGTGGCGAAAGCTTGTGACGGCAGGGACAGCGGAATACAGCGTCTGCAAATGCAAGGGTCCTCAAAGTCTTTTATCCCCTCGTCTCCCTGTCCTGGTCTTCAGCCCGACGTCAGACCACCACGGGATCCCCTCTTCTTCTCTCCGTCATGCTTCCCATCTTCCCTCACTCATCTTCTGTCCCTTCTACCTGTCTTTCGTCGCACCTAAAACAGCAGCGAAAACGTCAGACTGGAGACCAAGTAGGAAATCATCGCCATGAAACACTAATACCAGTTCAGCGTTCAAGAGCAGAACGTTTTTTCGTTTCCACCTGACTTTTATTTATAATTGGCAGCTGAGTGATATTCGGCTCTTCTCACCATGACAATCTCTACTACACTGACATCGTCCGAGCAACACACTGATGCCCAGTGGGTCACAGGGTGCCAAGAGCTGTGTGACAGGGGACTCTGGCCAAATTACCCACCCCTCTCCCTGCCGAAATGGAGCCAATTTGTTCTGCCACAGCGGACTCCCGGTCACTGTCAGCAGACACAGCCGGCCGGTGCTGAACCCGGGCCAGTGAGCGGCTTGCAGAACGAGCCGTTACTCTGTGATTGTGTCGGTGCTGACGGAAACACACTCAGGGGTGAGGGGGACTCACTTTGGGCGTGGTGCTCTCGGCCTCGTCCTCCTCCTGCTGCTCCTCCTCCGCCTCCTCCTCGTCCTCCACGCTCTGCTGCGACGTCTCCATCTCGTCCGCCGACTCGTTCTCTTTGCTGGCTGCTGCTCTGGAGCGCCCCCCGCGCCTGGGACAGGGAAGCACAGCGGCAGGTGAACACACTGTGACCGGGCCAGCACTCACCTGCACGTGGTCACCTACAACACTGACCCCTCCTCCCTCACAATGCGTATATGCAGAAATAGAGAATCATGTTTTACCCGTTTAGGTGAGTCACACTTTTGAGAGAAAACAATTTTCATGTTTTTTTGTAGCATGGAAATAAGAGGCACTCCCTCTGAAAAGCCTTGCTGATAACATCAGACTGCATCTCAGACTGAAAACACAAGCTGACAAGAATGGTGGAATCACAGGCAGTCTGACAGAGTCCAATTCATCATATTTTCATTCTTGCCTAATGGTGACAGTGATGGTGTACGTACTATTAGTACTTGTACTAGGGTGCTGGGGCGTAGTCGGGCAAAGCGCCTGTCTACTAAACAGGAGATCCTGGGTTCAAATCCCATCTGTACCTTTCTGGTTCCACCGCATTTCTTTAAAAGGGGGTGGTGTGGCTGAGCAGTCTAAGGCGCTGCGTTAAGACTTCAGCCTCTTTGGAGTGGGGCTCTTAACCAAAAGGTTGCTGGTTCAATTCCCCGCTAAGGCACTGCTGTTGTATCCTTGGGCAAGGTATTTAACCCACAAGTGCCTCAGTAAATATCCAGCTGTATAAATTGATACAATTGTAACCTACTGTATGTAAGTTGCTCTGGATAAGAGCGTCTGCTTAATGACAATAACGTAATGTACTGTACTACTACTACCATTAAAAAAGACTGAGCATGAGCCCTTACATCTTGGTCTACTTTTAAGTCTACGAAGGTATCAAACAACCCTTCGCTACAAAGCACAACAAAAGCACGCCAGCAACCGTGTACGTGAATGTGTACAATTCAAACATATAATAGTAGATAACTGCAAATCCTGTTGGCCAAAAGGATAACACCACCATAGTTTTAGAAAGAGCTGTTCTTCTGGAATCTGTTCAAACTCATTTATTAAGAGCTACAGACGAAGGCCAAAGACAGAATGTGTTAATTGGGCTTTTCTTGCATTACCATATCATCAAAAATAGCATATGAAATAGAACATAAGAGAGGGAACATTAAGGCTGTGAATCTTTGTTTTCTGTAGATCGTGGAGGACATGATTTCTTGAGAAGAGGAACCACTTGTTTGTGGTTGTATAGGAACACATCGGCATTTAAAACCAAACAAGCCAACAGAGGAATTGTTCCTTCAGTTTTAAGAGCTGGTGATTATGGGAAGGAATGTTTCTTATTCAGTGATAATCCCCAGAATGAAACTCAGGTGGTTTAAGAATAGCCTAACAGTAGCAGAAGCAGGAGTGGGCTTTGCCACTGCAGTGCACCTCTGTATGCCATGCAAAACCGTGGTCACGTATGATGTCGGCTGAAGGGTGTATCGATGCTGGACCAGACCGCACATTTTTGCAGTTGTATTTCTACAAAAATGTTACACAAATGACTGAGTTATGGACATTGATGGTTTTTTTTGTGAAATTGTGAATTGGTGAAACGGCAGAAAATATTTTTGGGAAATGGCAGTTTCGAACACACAGACACACACACTTACACATTTTTCTTGGCTGGCTGCTGGGCTGCTTTGGGTGGCCTCCCTCTTCTTTTCTGGGGAGTTGATTCAACCGATTCATCTGCGGCCTCTGTGGTTTCTACCCTGTATGGAATCAGGCAGGAAAAGCCAGGAAATCACAAACCCATGAAATACAAGGTCCAAAAATGATCAAAGCTGTGGTGTCCTTCAGTAAGCACAAGACAGCAGGTCAGAGAAAATAAAATGCCATTTAGACCAGAAGAGGCACATTTACTAGAAGCCATTCCATTTGGGTGTAAACACAAGATAAATAGGTAAATATCCAAATATGCAATCATCACCGTACCCGAGCAAGACGTGCGCTGTAAGCCTCTACTCATTGGCCTCACAGGGAGTAATCTAAGTGAGAGGCGATGTACTAAGATGAGAGCACTTCCATTACGGCAGGCAGGAGGCGTACTGTTTCTCCCACTGATAATGAGTGATAGCAGGGCCAACCGGAAGACAATTCCAAGCCCACAGCAGCGCATTTAATAAATAGAGGTATTAACAGAAGCCCTGCCGAACACACTATTAAACTAAATCTGAGTTCTCTATCTGAGTAATAAACTTCATAGAGAAACTATAAACGAGTATGTTATGGGTGTGGGGACAAATGATGTCTTGTGTATAAGAGCCAATCAAGATGCAGGCAGTCCCAGACAGTCCACATTTATAAAAATGGCTCTGTCAACTGTAGATTTGCAACATATTTTAACAATGATAACAAAAACATTGAACATTCATTTCAGTTAACTTAAACTTGCTATCTGGTTCAGTTTTCAAATCCACTAAAATGACAGATAAAAAGGCCACATCAGTGAGTCACATCTCCCAAAGAAAGAGGCAGAAAGAGTAAATCTGGAAGTGAAACAAACTATTCTGAATGTCAGACAATGACAGCTCCAACACCAGTGAAATACAGTAATAGCCAATTCCCTACTCCAGCAACAATTTTGAAAGATAAGGTTGGAGTAATACAAAGGGTTAGGGGTCAGGCTCCTCTGCGGGCAGCATATATTGACTGACAAGCAGGTTTTAACACAGAAACTGAGAAGCAGCCTATGAACCGATGATCAAACTCATTACCAAGTCCATATGAGCCTTGCAGTAATACAGGCTGCAATGAAAGGTTTGCTTGAGCAGCTCAAAGAGAGGTTTGGAGAGGGCTAACAAGAAAAAAAAAATACTCTGTGGTCTATTTTCCTTTTGGCATTGCACCAAATGTTACAAACAGTTTAGAAATATCCATATATATTACATTATATGTTAATGAATATTTCAATGATAATGCAAGCTAGGTTTTTGTAATGCAAGTGGCTGTGCAATAAAATTACAACCAAATATTATCTTAATTGGAAACACCATTTAATTCTGTTGCACCCTTTCAAAAACCATTCAACCTTGCTACATGAAACAACAGTGTGGTGTAGCGGTAAGGAGCAGGGTAACTGAAAGGTTGCTGGTTCAATTCTCAGCTGGGTCACTGCTGTTGTACCCTTGGGCAAGACACATCACCCACAATTGCCTTAGTAAATATCCTGTATAAATGCATAAAACTGTAACCTATGCAAGCCGCTCTGTATAAGTGTCTGTTAAATGACAATAATGTAACGTAATGAACTCCTTCACTGGCCACATAATAAAAAACATGACTGCACCATAAAAATGTCTGACCACAAGGTCACAACTTGTGAAGGAAACAGTAAAATGGCCATCCTGTATATCTGTTCTGCAGAAGTCTCGGGGAAGCTCACGTCAGGTAAGAATAAGGGAAAAGCTTTCAACGCCGCACCTGGAGGACTGTTGTGACCTCCTGGGGGTCTTGGCCTGCCTCCCCCCTTTGGGTTTCGCCTCCATGTTCTCGCTGTCACGGTCTTCCTCCTCCTCTTCTTCGTCTGCCTCCTCCTCAGGTGGCGGGGCAGCTTTCTTTCGGCCCCTCCTCCCCTTGCTGGGCGTCTCCTCCTTGGGCGTGGCCGTCTTGGGCGGGCGACCCCTGCGGCCCTTTTTGGGCGGGCTGTTCTGCTCGTCCTCCGTCTCCATGGAGATGTCGTCAATGTGCGTTTCCTCGGCCCACTGGTCCTCGCCGTCGCCGGCACTAGTGTTGGCCGCCTTTTTCCGGCCGCGCTTGGGCTTGGGGTCCTGGCCGGAGTCCTCGTCCTGACTGGACACCCCGCCCCGTTTCCGCCCTCTGGGCTTGTCACCGTCCTGCGGGTGGCAGCAAGGAAAGAAAAACGAGTGACAACTGTCATGCGCTGAGGAATGAGGGACAGTGGCACAGTGCATATGTATGTCAGTGTGTGCAATGTGTCTCTATTAGGCTTTATTTTACTTTACAGAAGAGCTTCTGCACGACTTTGTGTTTCATTTTGACTTCAATTCATATTCTGTTGTGCTCTTTGCAGAAATTCTAGCTCATAACAGACATGCCAGTATTTGTTACTCATATGAGTATAAGATATGAGTATGAATTCTGTTTAATGTGATTTTGTGTGTCTTGTATGCATCATTAAATCTTTTAGGTATGTCTGTACAGTTCTGTCATCTATTCTAACTTGCTTTGTGAGGTTCTTACAACCCTCTTTGGGTTCCTCACCTCACCTGCACATCTGATTGCTCTTTCTGGTGTCATTTCACCACCTCCAATTTAAGAAGCGAATGAACTTAAACTACATTTAAGGGAGTCTCTGCAGGGAGAGCTCTCTGCTGGATCTCGTGCCCTCAGCACGTCAGAGTCGTCCCTCTTGTCGTTCTTCTTCCCTGGCGTGGGAGAGCTTTTCATGATGGTGATGGCCTCGTTCTCACTGTGATCCATCTCTGTGCTGTCCATCCTGGAAAACGCAATGCATTCAGGAGCAATAATAATGAGTGTTAGGCTTGAAATGAGACGATTACAGTGAATTATGCTTGCACTGTGTGCTGGAGCGTGATGGGAGAAATTCAACCCAGACCGCACTGCAGCAATGCCCTCAGTGTCCAGCATTCACAACTGCCCTCAGCCATTTTACCAGCAAGGAAATAAGGAGGGAAAAACCAAGCCACACTTCCCCAGCAGAGCTTCATCAAAAAAAGCACTGTGGCAAGCTAGACTTTATTATAAGGGGAGAGGGAACAAACAAGCACCCAGTCACCCTGATGACTGAGACCAGGCCTACACCATAATCATCATCATCATCATCATCATCATCATCAACTTCTTCCTCTTCATCGCCACCACCACCATCATCATCACTGACAGGCTCCTGTGTTTCTGCTCCTTCCATGACTAAGCGCACTTCCTTCCTGTATGGCCCTGTATTTCTGGCTCTTATTAAAGCAGCACACCCTGTAGCCCACTGAGATATGGCAGGGCTGCATTCTACAGCATAGCAGAGAGCAGTCTGGGATACAAAGGATACCTCATTACGCCTCAGTCCCAACCCCAAAAATACAATACAAAACTGGTCTTTTTCATTCTGCTCCACACAACATTGTTTTTTACACTCAACACAGTGATTGTACTACTTCATTCATTGCTTTACTTAAGAAAGCAGGATGAAACACAGACAGCCATGTTCATAGCTTTCGTAGCTCTTGACTGATGGGAAGCAACAGTAAAGACTGAAAATAGTTCCTCTGACCCAAGGTGTGAAACGTTCAGTCTCAACTTTACGCCCACAGGACCTGAAGTGCGGACACACTCATCTTTCTTCCAACTGTTTCTGACTGGCAGCCAGAGGATTATTTCAAAACTGGCTCTTTTTCTCGATTTCTATAAATACTGATCCATAAAAATCATGCTTGTGTTCACCAATTTGTCACTGAAGCGAAATACTAAATTTGGTATTTTCACTATATATTCAGATTTAGTGAATCACAGCAA